AAAGAAACTTTTCTCTGTCCCAATTATCTTTTCCCTGGGGCCCTAACCTTTTGGTCCCTTGTCCCAAGTACAGACGGTCTGGCCTCTGTTCAATAACTTCAGGCAAATAAGAATTCCAAAAGGCCGCTATTTAAAGCTCGACCTTTACCCATTTCTGGTGGCTGGCTGCTAAAGGGTTTGGGGGGCGATCACATGTATTTGGAGGAATGCAAATGGGTCAGCGCCCCTTGTCTGCGCCCCTTTCCCAGCCCATCCCCGCTCCCGTCGCCGCACATGTCACGCCGTTTTTATTTTTCGATTTCGATTCGCGCGTCCGAATTGGGCTTTTTTTGGAAATTGGGCCCAAGGGAATCAAAATTTTTCCGAAATTCAAACTCGAATTCCGGGCTTCTTTTTTTTTTCCGGGAATACTTCGTTTCCTCACTCTCCCCTTTTATGGATGGGAAAGATTTCTGTGTACATGAAAAATGTGTCATGGAGCATCCATTGAGTTAGTGGGCATACGGGAAAAGTTGGTGTTTTCTTAAGGAATTATGGTTTATTGTAATACCCCCTCCGAACAATCCCCGCAGAATGGATGGATCTGCAGATTGAGATAATGGATCGGACTCGATCCAATTAGCTCCCCAATCTCGATCTGAATCCATCCAGCGGGGATTGTCAGGGCATGCAACCTATACGGGATGACACGAACCCACGCCACGAAAAGGTAAGTGTCAGGGCTCCCAGGTGTGTAATCCAGCGACGTCGTGACTGACGCTGGAAACGCAGACCTGCAGATATGTTATAAACTATTAATTTATTACACTAACAATACAACTAAACGGCTGTGCAATACTAAAAACATATTCAGTGCAACAAAAACAAACCAAACCACCCACAGATAACAGTTATCATACATGACACGCGTAGTTCAGCAGGCCGGGTCCACATATCAATAGGGCAGGTAGGTACACGGGGGAGCAAGCGGTGAGCTTGGTCAGGGTCACAAGCCAGGGATCAGATACAGGTAGCATGCAGCGTTGGTACAGAGGGTCCAGTACAGAGGGATGGTCAGGAGCGAGCCCGGGGATCAAGAGCAGGATGGAATGGTCAGCAGCGCGGGACAGAAACAGGATGCAGGACAGAAACAGGATGCAGGGCCAGGACAAACACACCCAAGGCAGAGTCTGTGGGTCTGGCCATCCCTTAAATTACCCCGAGCTTTAATCTAGTTACAGGTGTTAGCTGGGCTGCAAAGTTGAGTGTCTCTGATTGGCTGGGAACACTCGCTGGCCAGCCCTGGTACTGTCAGTATCAAAAGGCAGAGATGAGTGCCAACAGTAGGTGGCAGTCCATTCTGGACAGTTCCCCCACCTCAAGGAGCGGCCTCAGGACGCTCCCAAACAGTACTAGCCTGGGAAAAAAATTGTGTCCACGCCCGGGGCCCGGGTCTGGTCAACTGGCCGGGATATCTAAAGAACCTGGCCCCCAACCTCGGGCTAGGATCCTACGGGCAGCGGTATACACCGGGCAGAGGCACATAGTGGTCTGGACTCCGGGGCAGTGGCACATACGGGCTGGACTCCGGGCAGAGGCGACTCGGCGCAGTAGGCACACACGCGGCTGGACTCCGGGCAGAGAGGCACATCGGGCCCTGGGACTCCGGGCAGACGGGGCACATAGGGCAGAGGCACATAGGGCTGGACTCCGAGGGGCAGATGGCACATCGGGCAATGACTCGGGGGCAGGAGCTGCACATAGGGCTTGGGACTTCCAGGGCAGAGGCAGAGCACTCGGGCAGAGGACCCGGGCAGAGGCACAACGGAGCTACCAGGCGAGAGCAGCAGGGCAACGGGGCCTCCAGGCGGATGTACGAGACAGGCACACCGGGCCCACCGGGCGGGGACGACAGGCACCGGGGCCCCCGGGCGGTGAGCGGACAGGCACCGGGCCCCTCGGGACGGGGCGACAGGCACCGGGACCCCCTGGGGCGGTGGCGACAGGGCACCGGGCCCCCGGCCCCCCCCCCACCCCAGGAGCGGGGCGAAGGCCTCGGGACCCGCCGGGAGGAGCGGCGCGGCGCCGGACCCAGGCTGGAACTACATGTCTCGGCGCTCAGGGGAGCGGTGGCGGCGGGCGGACCATGCCGGAGCTAGTCACCCTGGCGGGGCGACAGGCCTCGGGCCCCCTGGCGGTTCGAGAGCGGGGGCGCCGGACCCCCAGGCGGAACTACAGGTCTCGGGCCCTCAGGCGGAGCGGCGGGCGCCGGACCCCCAGAAGGAGCGACACGGGTCTCGGGCCCTCAGGCGGAGCGACAGGCATCGGACCCCCAGGCGGGGCGACAGGCCTCGACCCCCCAGGCGGTAGCGTGGCGGGCGCCGGACCCCCAGGCGGAAGCGAGCGGGCGCCGGACAGGCCTCGGGCCCTCAGGCGGGCGACAGGCATCGGACCCCAGGTGGGGCGACAGGCATCGGACCCCCAGGCGGGGCGGACAGGCATCGGACCCCCAGGCGGGGCGACAGGCATCGGACCCCCAGGGGCGGGGCGACAGGCATCGGACCCCCAGGCGGAGCGGCGGGCGCACCGGACCCCATGCTGAGCGGCGGGCGCCGGACCCCCAGGCGGAGCTACAGGTCTCGGGCCCTCAGGCGGAGCAACAGGTCTCGGGCCCCCAGGACGAAGCGGCGGGCACCGAGTCACCAGGCACGACAGTGGGCACCGAGTCGTCTGGCAAGACTGCGGGCACCGAGTTCACAACTGGCGGAACAGCGGGCATCGAGTCAACTGGCGGAACAGCGGGCACCGAGTCGTCTGGCAAGACTGCGGGCACCGAGTCGTCTGGCAAGACTGCGGGCACCGAGTCGTCTGGCAAGACTGCGGGCACCGAGTCGTCTGGCAAGACTGCGGGCACCGAGTCAACTGGTGGAACTGCGGGCATCGAGTCAACTGGAGGCGGAACAGCGGGCACCGAGTCGTCTGGCGGAAGACTGCGGGGCACCGAGTCGTCTGGCGCAAGACTGCGGGCACCGAGTCAACTAACTGGCGGAACAGCGGGCACTGATCGAGTCAAGACTGGCGGAACAGCGCAAGACTGCTGGCACCGAGTCGTGCGGGCAAGACTGCTCCGAGTCAGGGCACCGAGTCGTTCTGGCAACTGGCGGAACTGCAGGCACCGAGTCGTCTGGCAAGACTGCGGGCACCGAGTCAACTGTGGCAGCGGGCATCGTTCTCAAACTGGGCACCAAGTCAGCTGGCAAGAGGCACCAACGAGTCGTCTGGCAAGACTGCGGGCACCGAGTCGTCTGGCAAGACTGCGGGCACCGAGTCGTCTGGCAAGACTGCGGGCACCGAGTCGTCTGGCAAGACTGCGGGCACCGAGTCAACTGGCGGAACAGCGGGCACCGAGTCGTCTGGCAAGACAGTGGGCTCCGAGTCAACAGGCACGACAGTGGGCACCGGGTCATCAGGTATCGGATTGTCTGGCTCGACAGCGGGCATCGGGTCACCAGGTATGACAGCGGGCACTGGGTCACCAGGCATCAGGTCATTTGGCTTGCCAGCGGGCACCGCGTCATCTGGCAAGGCAGTGGGCACCGGGTCACCAGGTATGACAGCGGGCTCTGAGTCAATTGGCACGACAGCGGGCACTGGATCAGGTACCGGATCATCTGGATCAACAGCGGGCATCGAGTCAACTGGCCTAATAGGATCGTCGGGCTGGATCAGTTCATCATGCTGAGTAGCGGCTTCAGGCTGAGGAGAGGCTTCAGGCTGAGGAGAGGCTTCAGGCTGAGGAGAGGCATCAGGCTGAGGAGAGGCATCAGGCTGAGGAGAGGCATCAGGCTGAGGAGAGGCATCAGGCTGAGGAGAGGCATCAGGCTGAGGAGAGGCATCAGGCCGAGGAGAGGCATCCGGCCGCCGAGGCTTCAGGCCGAGTAGAGGCTTCAGGCCGAGTAGAGGCTTCAGGCGAGTAAGGCTTCAGGCTGAGTCACGGAAGGCAGGGTTCACCGGTTTGGATACTGGCAGGATGGTATTGGTTGGAAAGAATTTTCGCTTTTTTCTGGTTTTAACTACTGGAGCACTGCAAGTAAACGCAGGTCTGCAAATGAATGGAGCAGCTGGAGACAGAGAAAAACTGGAGGATGGAACAGGAGAGGGAGCAGTTGCTACAGAGGGCTTTTTTACAGGGTTAAAGGCAGGATAGGTGCAGCGAGTGGGAACAGGGTACTGACATGCGGTAGATAGCCAAGTATACTGGGCTGTAACTGGAGGAGCTGGTGGGAATACAGGAGTAGAGTTAGAAGCAGGACTGGGTTTTTGTAAGCTGACTGAGGCTGGGTGCAACAAGTCTGTCCATGTCTGCAGTAGGGGTTGAACAAAGCTGAGCTTACACAAAGCCTGTCTGGTCAATGACTGCACTGCGTTTTATACAATCTCTTAGTGCCTGTGGTGAACATGGGGAATAACGCTCCAGAAAGTAACCCACATCATCCTCTAATAACCACAACAGGGACTCAACCTGGTCTGCACTAAATGGTGGCAAAAATTCATCCCTGCATTCGGGGGGAACCAGATGAAACCAACTCAACACAAACCTGAATCAATGGCTGCACCATAGAGAAATCTGTGCCCTGATCTACTAGAACATGAGCGAGCCGTATACATTCTAGCAGTTCATCCCGGGGATACTCCTTCAGAGTCTGATAAGCATACTCTCTGTCATCAAGCACTAGCAGAGATAAATACTCAACCTCATCCAGATCCATCCTTCCCATCAACAAGCCAAGATGGCTTCCCTGTGCAGCCACTTCTGGTCAGGATTGGCCTTGGTGTAATGTCAGGGCTCCCAGGTGTGACCAGAGACGTGTGACTGACGCAGGGAAGCGCCGACCTCAGATATGTTATAAACAATATAATTTATTAACACTAACAATACAAACATAAACGCAAGTGCAATACTAAAAACATAATACAGTGCAAACAAACCAAACCAAACCACCCACAGATAACAGTACATACAAGCAAGCGTCGTCAGGTAGGCCGGGTCAATATCAATAGGGCAGGTAGGTACAGGGGGAGCAAGCGGAGATTGGTCAGGGTCACAAGCCAGGGATCAGAACAGGTAGCAAGCAGCGTGGTACAGAGGGTCAGACAGAGGGATGGTCAGGAGCGAGCCGGGATCAGAGCAGGAGAAGTCAGCAGCGGTTCAGAATGCAGGACTGATGCAGGACAGAAACAGGATACAGGGCCCAGGACAAAAACACACCAAGGCAGAGTCTGTGGGTCTGGCCATCCCTTAAATACCCCAGCATAATCAGTTACAGGTGTTAGCTGGCTGCAAAGTTGAGTCTCTGATTGTTGGGAACACCCGCTGGCCAGCCCTGGTACTGCAGATCAAAAGGCAGGTGAGTCCCACCATAGCTGGCCAGTCCATTCCTGACAGTAAGTTGTAAAGCAAGCTGATGATCCCCGCAGGATGGATCTGATCCATCCTGCGGGGATCGTTGGCTTGCTTTACAACTTACCTTTGTCATGGAGCGGGTCCGTGTCACCCGTGCGGTAGGTGTCACCCCGTGCGGCGCACACCCCCCGCACCTGCCTCGGGACGCCAGTGGCGTCACCCTCCATAGTGGTTCTGAGCATTAAGTCACATCTCAGAGCCGTAAAGGAAATGAATGCTAAAATACTACCCTCTGTCCTAATATCCCCCTTGTCCCCCAGCCCACTTCTCCCATGACTTGGACCCTATCAAGCCTGCACACTTGCCGTAGGAGGGGATCCACAACACGAGGGAACCACACTGTATGTGTCACCTGCCCCACTACAATGATAATAATGACTATAAGTTACCTCCTGCAGACAGCCAAGTGTTAAATCCTCCTGCCAGACCCCACACCAGAAGGACTGCATCTCCTCTTCAGCCACTGATATAGGTCTGTTTCTACCCTTCCCGGCACTGAACATTTTGAGGTTAACAGTTTAGAACACCAAGTACCCTCCATCAGTTCCTTAGCACAGCATGCTTGTCTTGTTCCAACCCCAACTTTCTAAAACAAACAAATTTATTTACTGGAGTATTTCTTTATACACTTGTACATGGGTCTTACACAGTTCAATATTTAACACCTCCAGGCACAACGGTTACGTATAACTTAACGGGAAAAAATCCATTTGGTAATAACATGGCGGAACCCACTTCACAGTAATCACATTGCTCACAGCAACAGTCTCTGTGAGGTAGTTTAGGGCACAGCAGAGGTTCAGCTAATATAATGGTTTAGCTGGCACAGTGACATGCATACCTTTAGCTCGATCACCTTCCACATAATCAGACTCTCAGTTTTCCAGGTCTTGTCTCAAGTAAACTGTATCTGATGTTGTGTTTCTGCATCATATCACCTATGGAGATTCCTGACTTCCAATGGCTTCCAACGCCTTTGGGCACTATGTGCTATGCTTTGTGATAGTACAAGGCCCTTCCACTGTGAAATTGTTGCAGAAAGGACACAGAGTTCACACACATGTGTGTAGAGTGCGGGACTCCAGAGTTTGATTATGAGTTTAGAAGGCTTTGGTAATTCCAGATTTTGGTATTCCCAGATAATCCCCCAAGATCACTGCTGATATACCCATCTAAAAGGACATGAATTTACTTTTGGCTGATGCGCCACTGCAAGCAGTTAGCTCCAACTTTCCCAGGCATTAACACACACAATGAAATACAATGAGCAGTTGGCACCTGCTAACACACTTGTGTGATGACTAAGTGTGGAGCAGACTCGGCATTCTCCAGGTTCCTGGAGAAGCCCACCACTCACCAAATTATGACGTCACACACTGATCTGCCTATGCCATGCAACTCAGCTGTGTTCATTGGAAGATTTACCCTGTATTCCAGTTCTGGTGGCAACTCAGTTTTTACCCTCACTTTCATTCCCAGTAAAATTGGCGATATGGGCAGCACAGTGGCTAAATGGTTAGCACTTCCGCCTGGTAGTACTAGGGTCGTTTGTTCAAGTCCCAACCAGAGCACCACCTGTTTGGAGTTTGCATGTTCTCCCTGTGCCTGCATGGGTTTCCTCTGGTTTCCTCCCACACTCCATAACATGCTGGATAGGTTAATTGAATCTTGTCAAAATTGGCCCTAGTATATGTATGAATGTAAGTTAGGGACCTTAGATTGTAAGCCCCTTGAGGGTTAGGGACTGATGTGAATGTGCAATATATATGTAAGCGCTGTGTAAACTGACAGCACTATATAAGTACCTGTAATAAATAAAGGTGAATCTCCTTAACAGGTACACAACAGTGGCAATAAAAATCTGACAGTGGTTCTGATCCCTCTCCATTCTATCCAAATGTAAAAAAAAGTTTTTATTTAGTTATACTTTAAATTGGTGCTAGAAAATCTTGCTAGCTAAAATATCATTTTTGAGTAAATTCAGTTTTGAGAACTTGCTTGTAGGCATATTGTGATCAAAACCTAAAACTGTCAGGTCTGGAAAAGGCACATTCCTATGAATAATGGATAAGCATATATTGCCATCGCTGTGAGCTCATAGCAACCAATCAGTTTGCATTCTCTGAGTTGAAAGATAAAACAGTCAATGTTATTGGATATTGGCACCTTCTCTGGTTTTTTTTTCCTCCAGTTTTAATAAATCAGTCCCAATATATACTCATTCCATGAATATTGATAAGCAAAGAAACCTTCTAATACCAGGAGAAACAGTAATTTACACCGCGCCTGTTGTGTGCCGTATCTTCGAAACTGAACAGCAGACAAACTGCAGACTTAAGCAGACATGAGCTAATGCTTTGCTCGTTGATTCTTAGTGGTGAGGTAACCCGCACATCTCTTATGTCACAGTTTAATTGACTGTTACCAGAATACCTTCTTGTAAAAGCCAATATCTGGATGCAGTTCAACTTGCACTGACTGAGAAATACCATTTGTTTAGCCATGTGTATTTTAAAATAAGTTGCATTTCAAAGCTTTGTGTGAAAGCAGATTATGGCTTCTTCATAATATAATTATATTTCACTTAAAGTGGAACTGTGCTGCTGTGGGCTCTTAGGGCCCCTGCCGTAATGTACAAGTATTCACAATATACTTTGCTATAATGGCAGACTTACCTCCTAGCATGCCTTCCACTAGTGTTGCAAGCACTGCTTTCTCTTATCAGTTGATGCATTCTCCTGGTCGTCTACAAGGCTTCAAGTCTTTATTACTCAGTCTTCTCCATTGGCCGGCAACAGATAACAAAATTATTGCCCATGTGCACTGGAGTTTCATCTTCCTGTCACTCGGCTCTTACTGCCAGTACCATAGACTTGATTAATAATTTAATTTTAAATTTTGAATTGAATTAATAATTCTGTTGCCTCTCCACAACACAACAAATGCCGGTGCTTGTGTCTTATTCTTCTACCTGTTGGAAACAGGTACATACATTTTTCACCAGAGGCATAGTGGGGGTTGTCACTGAATCTCTCATCTGGCAACTGAATGGGGCTAGCTGAACTGGATGAGGTGGAGAGGGTGATGTCATCACCTTGCCTTGTCCAATCAGAGAGAGCTTTGCATTCTCTAAATAGCATCTGTGCAGAATGGCCAACTGCCTGTATTCAGAATGCAGCAGGCTAGCTGCTGAGCACGAGACCCAGAAGCATGTGGAGATCACTGAAGTAGCAGTGTCTGCTTCAGTGATTTCAAGCTTTCAGGGACATCAGCCAGGTTTGGTATATGCATAGTTACATTGGTCCAGGCTGGACCAATGTAGCTATGTATAAAATATCATACCCAGAATTCACTTTTAAGTGTATATAGTTGCATAGTTACATAGTTAGTCTGGCTGAAAAAAGACCATCCAGTTCAACTATTAAAAAAAAAGTTATAATCCTATACCCACAGTTGATACAGAGGAAGGCAAAAAAAAAACTCAGCAAAGCATGATCCAATTTGCTCTTGCAGGGAAACAAATTCCTTCCTGATCTCCTGAGAGGCAATCAGATATTCCGTGGATGAACTTTACCTATAAATGTTAGTATTTAGATATATTCTGTGTATCTAAGAAAGAATCCAGGCCTTTTTAAAGCAATCCACTGAGCTGGCCAGAACCAACTCTTGAGGGAGTCTATTCCACATTTTCACAGCTCTCACTGTGAAGAAACCTTTCCATGTTTGGAGATTACATTTCTTTTCCTCCAGACGTAAAGAGTGCCCCCTTGTCTTCTCTGATGACCTCAGGGGGAATAGCTCTATACCGAGTTCACTATATGAACCACTGATATATTTATACATGTTGATCATATCCCCCCTTAATCTCCTCTTCTCAAGAAAGAATACATTCAGTTCCTCTAATCTTTCCTCATAGCTGAGCTCCTCCATGCTTCTTATCAGTTTGGTTGCCCTTCTCTATACTTTCTCCAGTTCCCCAAGTTTCTTTTGTGAATTGGTGACCAAAACTGAGCTGCATATTCCAGATGAGGTCTTACTAATGATTTGTACAGGGGTAATATAAGATCTCTCTCTCTGGAGTCTATACCTCTTTTAATACAAGAGAGGATTTTGCTCACTTTAGAAACCACAGCTTGGCATTGCATGCCATTATTAGGCTTGTGATCTACCAGAACCCCCAGATCCTTCTCCACTATTGATTCCCCCAGTTGTATTCCCCCTAGTCATGTTTGTGTTTGGATAGAGTAGTGAATGGTTAAAACTTGTATGATCTTTTCCTGTCTGTCTTACTGAGGAAATTTTGTCTTCACTCTCTGTCCCAGAGACACAACAGGAAGTGGGAGGAAATCTCTACAGAAAATGATGGGAATCTCCTATTAAACAGTTGTCACTGGAACAGGTGTCTTCTTTGAAAGATATCCCCTCAACCTTCTGTTTGTGTTGTTTTACCATCTCTTTTATTTCCAGTGGCAATGGTCACCAGGACAAAATAAGAACATAATAAAGAAATGTATCTTTAGATACAAGAAAGAGGACAATGGTCCTCTGCCCGTATTCTCTTCCAATGGTGCATCCAGTGTGGTCACAAATTGGTGACTGAAATGCTTACTATGGTTTCAGATTTAAAGGTTATAAAATAGCTTACTTACCACTGCTACACAGAAACAACATAAATATAAACCCTATAACTGATGAGTACATTTCCCGCATGTGTTCTACAACACTGTGATCAAGTTTCACATGTAAAATATTTTAAGAGGTTGTCCATTTTGTAATTAAATTTGTATGATAAATGTCCTTGGATGAAAAGTAAAAATCTGTGGTATTTATTTTCTTGCCAACACTGTTCAAGTATTGAGTAGAACACATTCTTTAAAACACATCAGCAGCATCAAAAGCCGCTTCTTTGACATGAGAGAGACTTCAAACACAATGAATACAACATTTCAGGCAGTTTTAGAATAAATTAAAGATTCATTTATGGTGCTTGTATTTTTTCTTTGTC